GGCTGAGCTGCAGGACCTGCTGAGCTCCTCCCCTCTCCTGCTCCAGGACCTGGACAAGGCCTTCCTCAGCTGCTTTGGCCAGGAGTTCCCGTACAGGCAGTGCGGGTTTTCCTCCGCACTCGAAGCCCTCAGGAGCGTGTCTGATGTCATTGTGGTGGAGCAGACAAAGGCAGGGTCCTTGCTGGTCCTGAGGCAGCACGTGGCAAAGGAGGCAGAGCAGGAAGAGGGGCCTCAAAGTGAGGCGCAGGACGAAGAGGAGATGCAAGGTGAGGGGGGGCGTTTGACTGAAAGCACGAAGTAGCCCTTACAAGCTCTGTAGCCAAGCAACTACGTTTCAAGTGGCTCTTACTGCGTTTCCAGCTGCTGTAGTAGTCCAGGTTCCCTTGGGTTTTAGCACAGAAAGGCTGTTGTGTGCTGCAGAAGCAGCTGTCACAAGGCAGTTGTCTTGGTAGCAGAGAGCTTAACTGGCATTTTTCAACATGTTGTCACTGTTTTTTGATGTGAGGTGAAAGAAGGGATGTTTAGCCCGTTCAGAGAATGAACTTTCTGAGTGTGTCTGTGTGTGTAGGACTGGAATTTCTAGTCATTCAGTGCAGTAGGTAACGAAATGAGAAGGATCTTCTGAACATCTGCTCTGCAGGCTGGTGAAGCTTTTCTGACATTCTTTTTGAGGCCACATTTAACACTGGCCTGAAAGGCACAGCTGCAGTGTTCCACAAAAGAGACAAGACTGCAGATGCCCTCAGTGTTCTCATAAAACCTACAGTAGAGGGTGGAAAAATCCCATAGAGATACTGACACATTCATGGCTTTTCTGGGGAAAATTAATTTTGGCATCATTCTAGCAGTGGATTTTAGCACTTGGCATGCTTGTAAGAGCAAGCAATTGTTTTGGTTTGTTTCAGCTTATGAGTACAGTGAATCCTCATGAGTGTGGTGGCTGTGAATGCTACAAGAAATGAGGGAAACACCACCAGTGTTTTCAGATGTTTTCTCCCTCTGCTTAATATGCTACACTGCATCAGTCCAATCAGTAAGAATAACAGCCAAAATGTCATCTTTGCAGCCGAGATGCCCCCTTTGGAACCTGTCTGTGAGACAGATGACTTCTACCAGGCAGCCCTTCTGATGAAGGTGGAGCCAGTGGAAACACAAGCAGTAGATCTGGGTGATCGCCTCAAACAAGTAAGTGGTGGACAAGTGACCTGTAGCTTTTTCATGTCTTATTCGGGTGGGTGGATAACTCTTTTTACTGTCTTTGTTGAGTTTGCATTGTTGATGCACTGTTCCCATCTACACTAGTTCAAAGGAAATAATGTTTTCAGCAGTAAGAGTAACACACAGTTGACAGCTGTGCTAGCAGCTCACTTGTACAAATCTGTCTGGAGTAAGAAAAGAACAAAGCTCGTAGATTTTGTTTGGGTTTTTGTCCTAGTGTGAAAGTGGGATGCATTTATACCTTCTGTCACTTCTGAGTCATTTTCAGATAGTTTTGCTCATTCGGTCATGTACTTTTTCATGATCATGGAACATAGAGATAACATCTTTTCAGTAAAATCTAGGTGGGTTGAATTTGGTTTGGGTTTTACTTTTTTGGTTTGCTTTGTTTGGTTTTGTGGGGTTTTTTGTTTTGTTTTGCTTTTTTAGCAACAGCCATTCACTACTTTTATCGAAACACGTGACATGACTTCAATTCCTCTCCTTTATTCCTTGTAGGAAAATGAGCAAGGTATTTTTGTTGCACCCCTCTTTACACTGGAGGGAAGGAGGAAAGAGAGTGTGAAAAACTTCCACAGGGAAAGTTTGGATCCAGGTTAATGCAATTTGTTGAGATTCTCTGATGTTCAGTAATTCACAGGTCCCTGGGAAAGCAGAACTAATTTTTTTAACTTACTGGAAAGGCCAGTTATGTGTGATCAGTGTATGACAAGACAGATCTGAGTGCCACCTTCCTCTTATCCCTTTGCAGCCTCAAGATTTTCAGCAGTTGCTACCAAACAAGCTGACACTGTCTCTAGAAATCCCCCCGGATGCTGTTCAGGACAGCAGCCTTTGCAGTTTACCACCTCTGAAGAGAAAGTGCTTGGTGGGAGTCATTGTAGAATTCATCGTCTCTCCTACCCAGTTCTACGTCCAAATCTGCGGCAGGGAAACATCCTACAAACTGCAGGATCTGATGTTTGAGATGAGGTGGGAGCACGCTGTGCCGGTGCAGTGCTGCTGCCTCTGGTGTGTGTGTGTGTTTGTGGGGAGGGAACGGGGCAGCAGCTGGTGGTGATGGTCAGTGCTGGCCTCATTACTTGGTAATTGGATGCAGGTGCTGTACTGAAACACCTTCTCATCCTGCTTCTCCATTCCTCTTAACTCACAAGTGTGGTCAACAGCAAAATAGTCCTAGGCTGTTCTGGACTTTAAAAGCCTGGAAAGGTTATGGAGTTGAGCTTGAAGGGTTCCTTTGCCTTGTCTGTGCTGCTGTTGCTAATGTGCTCAGTTAAAGCTTCTATTTCCATCTCCAACACTTTCAACCAGTGCTCTGGAACCTGGTTCATAAGAAGCACTGACATGTAAAGGTAATGTTAAAAAAACTAATGTTTAGAATGACTGTATTTAGCCTCTGGTTAATCCCCATTAATTAACTTTTTGTTGGATCCTGAGAATATCATTCAAGTGTTAAAAATTTGGGTTTGAGTTTTTTTGTTGCCGTTGCAGTTCAGGTGTGGAAGAACAGAGATATAAAGGATCTATTGAAACCACCCCTGAAAATTCGTGTCGTGGGGACTTTAAAAAATCAGGAATCTTTTGATGCCCCACGTATTTCTCCTTGTTCTTCTCATGCATCCCACTAAGCAGAGTTCCTCCCTGTGATCTTTTGCAGACACCTTTACTCCCATAAACTCGTCTCTGATAAATACATCATGCCTGACTCTGCAGTGCGGCCCGGACAGCTCTGCTGTGTGATGGTCTCCAAATGGTGGTACCGTGTTATCATCCACCGTGTGGTCAGTGACCAAGAAGTGGAGGTGTTCTACGCAGATTATGGACAGCTCCAAATTGTCCAGAAGTCTTGGCTGAGATTCCTCAAGTAAGTAGATTGCACATGGGCGGCAGGACAGCTGAGGTTGGATTTAACTTCTGGAGGGCATCCTGCCCGAGCTCCCCGATCCAGTGGGGCCGTCTGGAATAGGCTGCCCAGACTTTGTCAAGACAGTTTTTGAATGTTTCCAAGGATGGAGATTTCATTACCTCTTTGGGCAACCTGTTGCAGTGCTTGCTCGCTCTCATGGTAAAAAGGCCACTTTCCTGACGGCTGGCCCTGGGTGTGTGCTGGTGTGTGGTGGTGTTCCTGCCCAAGTGCAGGACTTTGCAGGACTTTGAGGTTCCTGTCTGCCCATTTCTATCCTGTCGAGATCCATCTGGATGGCAGCCTGAGCCTCTGGGGTATCAGCCACTCCTGCCAGTTTTGTACCATCAGCAGACTGAGGGTAGACTTGTCCAGATCAGTAATGAAGGTGCTGAACAGTGCTGGACTCAGCGTTGACCCCTGGGGTACGCTGCTAAATCCTTTCCTGTTTCTGCCTTCACTCCTCAGTCTGTCCCCTTGCTGCTTTTTGTCACCTCGGGGCAAGATCCCTAATCCCCCTTCTTGTGTTCCATGAGTGAACCTCAGTCCAAGTGGGACACATTTTGGGTGCCAGAGGTACTTGTTCTCTGCAGTTCAGCACATTTTCCATATTTGCATCTTCCCCCTCATTTGCCTCTCTTCATGCCTGGTTGTTGGCATTCTTTGGATTCAAAATTCATGGCTCTCTGTCCCTAACTTTGTCTCCACAAGGAGTTCTGATGGGAAGGTGCTTGTGCCAGGGACTGTATAAAGTACCAGTTGTTACTGCTGTCTCTGCTGTGCCCATTCTCCGAATGTGGAGTGTTTTCCAAAGCTGCTGTTGGGTTTTAGTCATAAGCACACAATCCATTGTATGCCTCTCTATTCCTAAACTGATAATAAAACCCAGAAGAGGAGGCAGTTCTGCCCTGCTGCTGATTTTTCCCTATTTTTGCAGTAATGGCTTTGCTTTCTTTGTATTTTAGGTGGCACTACTTGAAGCTCCCTGCTCAGGCCATCCCATGTTCCTTGGCATGGGTAAAACCCGTGGAGGTACATGTTCACGTGCAGTTTTGTTTACTGACATATGTACAAGAGTTACCAAGTAGAGGTTGTCTTTTTCTCCTGCTAAGGGCAGGCATTTTGGGTGAATTTAGGTCCTGTTGATATTTACAGCAGAACTGGTGCTGTTGTTTCCAGCAGAGTGTGACTGGGTAAGTCTCTGCTCAGCAAGCAGTCACCCTTCCAATGCTTTCCTTACCATCAGAGCAGTCTTGCTTATATTCCAGCAGAAACTGTTAAACTACTGAGCAAACCTGTTCCTTTCCTTGCCAGTAGTTCCCCAGGGTCCTTCTGAAGCCTTGGTAGCTCCAGCCCCTCTGTTTTTAAAAAACTCTTCTGTGACAGAGCTTTAAGTGCAGTCAGCACAGCCAAAGAGTTATAGAGGTCATAAAGTTCCTCTGTGGTGGGAAACCTTTTGGTCATGAAGCAGGAGAAGTACAGTCTCTGAAGGAAAGCATGTGAGTGGAGTTGCTTCTTCTGTGTGTTTTAAAGATGCTACTTCTAAAAAGTTGTTTCCTCTGGGTTTTGAGAGTTAATCACCATTTTCATTGCAGTGAGGCTTAGCAGCTTCTCAATAACTTTTGATACTTCTGACATCTGTAAAATCCCACGATTCCAGGAATTAAAAAACCAAAATAAACACCAAACAACTGTATTTTAGGCAGTTGTGGTAAAATCCCTGGCGAATGCCATTGAACTGTGTTTGGAAGTGGGTATTTAGGGTAGAAGGGCATTTCCAGTGTACCCAGCATTGCAGGCTTTGGGGTAGTTGGGTTTAGTTCTATGCTGGGAAGCTGGTCTGCCTGACTTTCCTGTATTTGTCACTGGTCTGGCCTAGCTCAGTTGCCTTTTTACAAGTGCCCTCCACCAGAAAAAGTCTCAGGTGTGGTGGACATTGGTCTGTTTTTAGTAACTTTACATCCTGGTTTTCTCCCTCAGGGTACGTGGTCTCCTGCAGCAACTCTCGTGTTCAAGAATCTCTGTCGCTTCAAGGAGCTTGTGGGCGTCGTGGATGAATATGTGGATGGTGTCCTGTACCTCTTCCTCTGTGACACATCCACCAAGGAGGATGTCTACTTCCACTACGTCTTGAGGGATATGGGATATGCTGATGTGTGTGGAGAGAACATTCCTTCCCAGGTCAGGAGGGAGGCGTGTGCTGCTGAAAGGAAGGGCAAGGAAAGGACCCCTGGCTGAGTGCCTGTAATGTGAAGATCTTTACCTTGAATTCAAGTAGTTTTGTGAAGAGCAAAACTGGTATTCCCTGCTTTCCTGTAGCTTACCGTTTGTGGTTGCAACCCACAGTGTGTAATTCTATGGCGAGAGCTTGCTTTTTGGCTAAGGTGGAATCTGATGATACGGCAGAGATGTTCTTTTTTAGCAGAGCATATTATTTCCACTGTCTTCTGGCAGTGGATTAGAAACTAATTAGCGTGGCAGTGTTGCAGATTCAGCTGACACGTGTCTTGTAGAGATAACAGGGAAAAGTAAAATCACTGCAGGTATTCTGAGCATAAGGCCAAACTGAGATGGAATTGGGAGGTCGTTAAGAGATGTGTTAATTGAGGTGCCTGACTCATCCAACCAGTTAATGAGAGCTCAAGTTCATTAGATTTTATTGTATGGCTTGAAGTAGTGCTGCATAGTGAGGAACAGAACACTTCCATCTTCAAAAGGGGCAAGAAGGAGGACCCAGGAAACTCCTGGCCGGTCAGCCTCGCCCTCATCCCTGGAGAGGTGATGGAACAGGGCACTCTGGAGGTCATCACCAGGCGTGTAGAAGTGAAGGTCACCAGGAGTGGTCAGCATGGATTCACCAAGGGGAAACCCTTCTTGACCAATCTGATAGCTTTCTGTGACAACGTGGCAGGATGGGTTGATGGGGGGAGAGCAGTGGGTGGGGTGTACCTCGACCTGAGCAAGGCTTTTGACGCTGTCTCCCATGACACCCTCGCAGGTAAGCTCGGGAAATGTGGGTTAGGTGAAGGGGCAGTGAGGTGGATCAACAACTGGCTGAATGGCAGAGCTCAGAGGGTCAGCAGCAGCAGAGTAGAATCCAGTTGGAGGCCTGGAGTCTGTGGCTTTCCCCTGGGATCAGCAGTGGGTCCAGTCTTAATCAGCTTTTTTATCAATGACCTGGAAGAAGGGATAGAATGTACCTTCAGCGAGTTTGCTGATGGTACAAAAGTGGGGGAGTGGGTGATACACTTAAAGGCTGTGCTCCCATTCAGGGGGACCTTGACAGGCTGGAGAACCGGGCAGAGGGAAACCTAAAGAGGTTCAGCAAGGGCAGCTGCAGGGTCCTGCACCTGGGGAGGAATAACCCCAATACCAGTACAGGTTGTGGGCTGACCTGGAGATCACTGTGGAGAAGGACCTGGGAGTACTGGTGGGCCAATGGGATCCTGGGGTACATTGGGAAGAGTGTGGCCAGCAGGTCGAGGGAGGTGATTTTGCCCCTCTACTCAGCCCTAATGAGGCCACATCTCCAGTGCTGTGTCCAGTTCTGGGCAGGTTCCAAGAGGATGGTGCCAGGCTCTGCTTGGTGGTGCTTGGTAACAGGACGAGGAGTAATGGCCATAAACTTAAACACAAGAAGCTCTACCTCAGCTTGAGGAAGAACATCAAGTTGAGGGTGGCAGAGCACTGGAACAGGCCGCCCAGGGAATCTCTCTGTCTCTGGAGACATTCCAAACCCAGCTGGATGTGTTCCTGCCACCTGTTCCAGGTGACCCTTCCTTGGGAGGGAGGTTGAACTGGATGATCTCCAGAGGTCCCTTCCAACCCTTACAATTCTGTGATAATAAATTATCTTGGCCTTCTGTGCTCTAGGCACTGAAGGCTGGTTGTGCCATTATCAAACAGAGTTATGGAAATGGTCTTGGTTTAAAAACTCTTACTTTGCCAGTGAAAGGTACCGTGTTGGACAGTGTAACCATGGTAGATTGCCCATTGTGCCTCAGACAGACATCCCAGTTGTGAGCCAGTGCAGAGGGCATTTGTGCTTTAGACTCCTCTGTATCATTACCTGCCTGTATCAGCTCAGTAAGAACTGTGTGGATGATGAAAACCCTGGGAAAGGCACTGCTGTGATTTTATACCTCAGCAGAAAACTGGGCTTTACAGCCTGGAGTGCTTCTGTCTGCTGCTTTCTTCAGTAGATGCAGAATGAATGTTTTGGTGGGATTAGATCCCTATGATTGTAGTTTTGCATGTGTAGGTCCAGTTTTGATGGGGAGAGGGGCATTGCTGAGAAGTCTTGCTGCTGGCAGGAGAGGAGTTGATTTTCTTAGGAAGGTCCATTTCTACAAGAATTTTGAGCTCACTTGTGGGTGTTGTGCTTCTCCAGAAAACCTACTAGAGATTTGCTGAATTCTTTTTATTGTTTGTGGTGGTTACAACATGGGGTTTTCTCCTGTCCTGGTATGTTTTTGTATTTGTTCCCAGGAATTCAAGGAGCTGAATCCTTTGGCCTTGTATGTTCAGCCCAGTGGAAAGCAGGAGAATGATGAACTGGTGGAGCCAGACCTTTGCTTGCAGCAGGAATCTCTAGTTGCAGATAGTGAAACAGCAACCTCAAAGCTGGATGGGGCTGAGCTGTGTGACCAGGTGAGAGTTTGGCTGGGGCACAGCTATTGTTCCATGAAATCAGCTCCATGTGGCTGAGAGATGGGTGACCATCCCTGAAATGTGAGTTTAATTTGAATTCTTAACCAAAAATGCAGAGGGGCTTCCTCTGACTCAGTTCCTGCTTCCTTACAGAAACTCCCTCTGTCATTGCCATCACTGCTTCTGCGTGGGGGCTGCTGAGAGATGAGCCAGCTGCTGATTCTTTGCTAAGACATGGTGCTTTGTATCTTGTAATTTGTCACTCTTTTCAGCTTGCTGTGCAGGAAGAGCTGCCCTTTGGCCAAGGGAACTAGGGGTTTGTTGTTGTGTAGTTTTGTTGGTGTGGTTTTTTAATCATCCAGTTGCTGACATGCCAGTTCTTTGTAAATTTTGAGAGGTAATAAAGATCAGGGCAGCTGATGAACTGGGTGTGCGCTAATTGCACCCTCTCATGATTTTTTTTTTTTTTTAATGTACATTTGCAGACACCTCATTCTCTTGGAGAGTCCTCCATGCCTGCTGTCCTAGTCAAGTCAGAGGAAGATCTTTACACTTCCTTTATTTACTCCAAGCAACCAGCAGAAATGAGGCAAGATGACCCTGATCAGAAAGAAAGATTTTGCAGCAAGGCCCAGCTTTCTGAACTGTAAATCCTGCTGTTCCGCTCATGGCAATGCCATTCGTACTGGACACCCCTAACAGGACGGGTAGATTTGTCAGTCAGAGTTCACACAGCAGCAAGCTGAGCAGTCTGTTGCCGTGCCATGAGTTCTGCAGTCCCTGTTGGGTATCCTGGGGCTGGTGCTGCTGGAACAGATGGCAATGTTGGTGTTTCTGTGGGCTGGAGATGCCACAGTAATAAGTGGCTGGATGCAGTGCATCGGTTTGGCCTTTGTGCAACAAAATGGATTTCTAATTGTTTAATGGGAAGAAATGAATTGAGGGTTAGTTCCTTCATTGCTGCGTTTTGTTGTCTTTTCTAGACTTTCTGCTGCTTTCATGCAGAAGTCTTTGTTTCTCCACTCCATGCTGTGTTCATTTCATACTGAGTCTCCCAGTCTCTCAACTGAAAGGGACTAAAGCATTTTGTAAATCCTGTGAGGTCCCCTGCTTGGGTGTTTGTCTTCCATCTTCCAAATGATGAAAGAATTTACAACACCCCTACGAGAGTGGCTTGATTTACGAGATGGATTAAGTGCCTTGACAAAGGTGGGGGGGGGTTGTGCCTTGGAACAGGGCTGTCTGCCTTCCCTTTGGAGTTCCCTAGACACAAGCTACTGATTTCCCACCTCTGGGGGACAGGAAGAGAGGTCCTTGGGTTATACCACATCCAACTCGTCAAATAGGTGTGCAAGTAGCAAGTCCTCTTGCTATGATCTGGTAACATCCAGCAAAGGGGATTTCAGTCTAAACTGGAGCTCCTGGATTTGCCAGTGGAGATCTGATCTTTCTTTTCTCTGTCCTTCCTTATGCAGGTGAAGAGAACATGAAGAATGAAGACCTTCCCAGGAGCCGGCCTCTGTGGTGCCAACCTCACAAACTCCACGTCCCTCCTGCCACACTCACTGCAGTGTTGGCAGCTGCACGATTGGCCACTTCCAGTGGCTCCCCAGCCTGGGAAGGCAGGTGTGAGAAGAGGGGAGAAGCTGGAGCTGCTGCCAGGGAAGGCTGCTGTGAGCAGCACAGGCTCTCTGGATAGCCATGCTGTTGGGGTTTGTCTTTTTTGTTTGTGGTTTGGTTTTTTTTGTTTGTTTTTTTTTTTTTTTCACAAACATTTAATCCCTTGAAAAAACTTTCTGGGTCTGACGTCTCAGGTGTGCCCAGCATGTGAGATACATGTTAATTTTACTTTCAGGAAAATACTTTGGGTTTGTATTTTTACTTTCAGGGAAACGCTTTGGTTTTGTTGTACCGGTGGTGTACTGGGTTACTGCTCTTTAATATTATGGTTCAGGAGAACATCTAAGTGTCACGTTGTGTTATAAACCCTTTAAGTTTAGGAGAGGGAAACTGGCTCCCTGTCCTTTCCTCCCTTGGTGCATGAGCAGTTTTGACATTGTTTTTTAGCACAGGGGGTGCTCTACACACTCCTTGCTCTGAGGAGAGCTGAAGAAACCTTCCCCAAGAAGAAGGTGCTGGGATTTTGTTGGATGCCATGTATACAAAGCATCAGGAATCTGATAAATAAAAATCTGTAAAGAATTCAGCAAGAGAAAACTTGAAGCTTGACATTGGCCATGTTTATATAGCTTTGTGCCTGGGGCAGAAAGTGATGAGTGTGAGGCTGCTGATGCAAAGAAAAGCAGTGAAAACAGAGGTGCCCTGGTTAGGAATGCTGACATTCAGGTGCCTTGCTGGTCCCTAGACTGTTCCTCAGGGCCTTCAAGGACTAGGTGATCTTTAAAGCTCTTCCAACCCAAACCATTCTATGATTCCATTGTTTTAATTTCGGCATTTTGAGTTTGGTTTGGGATGTGAAAGGGCTAAAACAGGAAATGTGGGACTTGTTAGAAAGCAACTGCTGGGGAAGCTGATGAAGGGAGGTGAAAGCAGAACGATGAGGAGCAGGGGCTGTTCAATCCAGTGCAGGGTTGCCTGACCTCTCTGGTGCCGTGTTTGGGCCGGGGTGCTCATTGCACATGTTTGTCATCCATTGACTGTAACGGAGCTGAGGTTGCTGGGGAGTCACCCCCTCTGCTGCAGGACCCCCGTTTGGTTTCAGGGAGGTGAGAACTGGGGGCTAGGGTAGGGTGTCCCAAGGAGACCCCCACACCCTCCTCTGCCTCTCCTCGTTGTGCAGCAGGGGCTGGAACCCAGAGGAGCTGTGACCTTGCTGCTGCTGGATCACTGCTAGATGGCAGCCGAGGCCAGCACTCAGCTGTTCAGCTCCCTGCAGCCTAAAACTCCTTCTCTCTGGGGGTCCGGGAGGGTGAGGGAGGTGAGGAGCTGAAGAAGTCTCTGGTGAGTGAGCAGTGCCCCCATTCCTGGCTGGGGCTGTCTCTCCCCACTCCTTGCCTGGGGTGTGGGGGGGGTGTAAGAGGGAACCTTGGGGATGGGTCCCACTGCTGCTTGGTGAGGGCTGTCCCGAGGAATTGGAGATGAGGAGATGCTGTGGGGGGCTGGAAGGGGATGTGTGGACGTGGGGAGCTTACATGTGTGCAGAAAGGGAGCAGCATTTCCCTTCCCAGAGCAGTTTGGCTCACATTTCTCATGCCCAGCAGGCCCCTGTTTGTACATTTGTTGCCTAAGGCAGTGGAAAAAGAGAAAGATGCCTCAGGGACTGCAAAGTGATGCTGTATTCATGTCCCTGCTCCTGGGCGTTGCTGTGCCAGTGCCAGGCAGTGGGGAGGGAGAGGTGGCTTTGCCAGGCACCAGGATAAACCACCTTGTCAATTTTGGGGGAACCGAGCCCCACAGAGGTGTCTGATGGAAGGATTAAGGTGCTCTGCAGGTGTCATGTTTCTACTGGAGGGGTCAGTAGTGCCCCCACCCCCCATCCTCTCTGAACATCATCTCTGTGGAACACTGGGGGCCCTTTCACTGGAGTGGTGTGGCCGGTGTGGGTGCCCCTCATTCCAGGGGGTGTCCTGCCCCTCCAAAGGAGCTTGGGATGGAGCTGCTTCCCTCTCCTTTGCCCCTGCTTTCCCCTTTCCCCATAGGTGTGGGGCAGCCGTGCTGCCAGCAGAGGTTATCGACTGGGAGTGCCCGGGGCGAGGACCAAAATGTTTAGAGCAGATTAAAAATTGAAAGGCTTTGCAGCTCTCCCTAAAAGCCGGGGTTAAGCAACACCCCGGCGAGGTGTGTGCTCAGGGGACTCACTAATGGACTCGGGCAGCATCAGGGGCCTGGGGTCAGCCCTGGCAGGTGGATGGAGCTGGGGTGGGTGGCTCTGCTCCCCACTGGGATGGTAGGAAGCAGGTGATGGAAATGTGGTGTCCCCGCAGCTGGGGCCATGTACGTTAGAGCAGAGCCAGACCTGGACCAACTCAAGAAGGATCCCGGGGTGTTGGCGAGTCTGGAAAGGGTGAGGAGCGATGCTCTGGGCAGGGATTTTGTTTTGAGGGGTGTGTTTACGGAAGAGTTTCTCCGGGCACCTGCAAGCAGCTGCCTGACCGTGGTGGTAATCGGGTGCTTTGAGTTTTAAACGGGCTGTCAGGAAGTATTTGGCTGGTGAGGAGGATGGAAGGTGACAGCTTGCTTTGGAGGAGCTCAGCGCTGCAGAGGTGGCCAAACAGCTCCTCGTGGTGCTCTGGGTTGCAGGAGGGCTGGGCAGGAGCTTGGGGTGCCCAGGCTGAATGCCAGGGGCACAGGGGTACCCAGGCTGGCCCTGTGGTGGTCTCTGTGACGGGTGTTATGTCAGCAAGGCTGAAATTTTTCAGATTCATGCATCAGCCCATCCCTCCCCACCCCGCTGCACTTTTGAGTCAACCTATGCTCTGGAACATGGGGTTCAACTGAGTAAATCATTTGGACTTGAAAACCAAAATTGAGTGCTTCTGACCCTAAAAACATTTGTCTTTTTATTTTTAGACGTGTTTGGATTTTTTTCAGATGGAAATTGAGTACTTTCCTGGTTTGGGGAGGATAAAAGTGCACTCAACCCTGCATCAGATTGTTTCACTTGACCCACGAGTAAATGCTTTTCTTTCCTGTGACCTGGAAGGATTTCTTTCTCTTTCCATTTGGCAAGAAAAACGGAAAAGCCAATTCTTGGTACAGGTCACTGCAAAATAAGGTCTGGAGCTGGAGCTTTTCAGCCTGAGTGCAGTGCCAAGACCCATCAGCTCTTCCCACTGGTCCCTCGAGTGTCTCCCTTTTTCTTGCAGTAAAAAGCCCTGTTTTTCCCTTGCATTTTGCTGGGAGCAAATGACTGGTAGGCAGGAGAGCAGCCTCTGGCTGCTGGGTTTTGGATGAGCAGAGATGGGGATGGTGCTTGTGCCTTGCTGGATTTTTGGAGGGTGACTTAGAGGCCACCCCTGGGATGGGTTGTGCAAGCTGAGCAACACTTCATCTCTGCAAAGGCCCGTTTGGGGGGAAATGCTAAGAGACTCCTGCTGGCAGGAAGGAGTATGGAGACCTGGGGCAGCAAGTACTGCTGGAGCATCCCAGGGTTGGGAAATGGGTCAGTGCTGCCATTTACCTGAAGCAGGGCTGTGCTCCTGGGCCTGATGCTGCCTGGAAGGGTCTGTGCACACCCCATCCCACAGAAATGGGGTCTGTGAGTGTCTTTCTGAGCATCCACTTGCATCCGAGTGAGTTCTCCCATCTCCTCTCCATCTTGGACCTGTTCAGGTGGTGTTTCCAGTGTTAGTGGCACCACTCCAAGCAGAGCATGCAAAGGAGAGGGAGAAGAGGGGGTGTCCTTGTGGGTGATGGGGGATGCCTTGAGCTCGCAGGCAGCAAGAGGAAGGGGCACGTGGCATGGGCTGTTCTGCATTCAGAGTTTAGGACCAGTTGGAATTGGGGCTGTTGCTGGAGAAACTCTTCACTGGTACTGCTGGGGGTGGGGGGTTGAAATTGGCTCCTTCCCACTGACAGTGAGTTGGTCAGGGCAAACAGGGAGGGCTTGGGATGGATGAGGTTCCCCCCAGCCCTGGGTGCCCTTGCCCTGAGTGTGTGCAGGCTTGTCACCCCCTCCCCACTGCAAGGAGGTTTCTGTCCTGATTCAGCTCTTCCAGGGCAGAAGCTGATTGCAGAGGGGTTGTGATCTCACTTGTGCTTTTAATCCCACTGCTGTCAAGCTCCATTAGGAGGTTTGGCATCATCTCACTACCTCTGGGGCCGGGCCCAGCCTGAAATGAGGACAAGTCTGGGCCGTGCTGGAGCGGGCAGGGGCCGGGCAGGCAGGGATGCTTTAGGGGCCGTACCTGCCCCCACTGCTCTCCCCAGCACTTCCAGGCATCGTGGGGGCCGCAATGAGCAAGGACCGGCTCATTTTGGTGGCCTGGCCACTTTTGGGAGCAGGATGGGGAGGAGTTGGGATGGCGGCAAGCGCCACTCCCCAGGCACTGAGGGTGCTCGAAAACCTTTCTCGGCGCTGCAGCCTCAGCCCACGCTCTGCTCCAGCCGCACTTTGGTAACCCACGGCTGACCTCCCCCTGCTCCCACAGCACGTGTGGCTGTGTCCGGGCTGCGTGAGGCCGGGCATCCCGCCCCGCGCTGCCGCATGCGGCTCCCGCTGCACCGGGAAGGGGAACTAATGGGCTAGAAACTGGGGCTGAACATCCTTCCCAGCCTCCCAGAGTGGGCTGCACAGCTCGGCAATGTGAGGGGAAGGTGCTGTCACTCATCCCTGTCCTGGCCACTGATGCCCCGTGAGCAGCTCCCAGGATTTCCAGGCCTAGCCCGGCCCATCATGGTTCTCCTGAGCTTGTTCATAGCAGCTCCATCTGGCCCTGGGCTTGCAGCTGCCTGGGAAGGAGCTGGCATGTGACGAGCATGGAGAAGAGCAGGAAAGGTGGGAATAGATCTGGAACCCTACAGGTGCCTGGAGGGGGGGGGCTGACTGGGTCATCATCGGGGTAATGTCTCAATTTTCGTGATCTCCCTCCCAGCTATGCCAGAGCTGGGCTCATCTGCCCACAGCCAGTGAGGGGGTTTGGCAGGCACTGCTGTGCTGATTATGGCCAGAACATGGCTTTGAAAGGCTCCTGTGCAGCCAGGGTGGTTGGGAAGGGGTCTGCTGCTAAAAGAAAGAGAAAACCTTCTAGGGGCTGCCACCACAGTGGGGGTTTCAGCCCTGCCCTGTGCTGGGGCTCAGGGGTGCTGGTTTGGGTTGGGGTAGCACCTCTGCACTCCCTGCTCCTTGCTG